TGTGGCGAATACTGCGGCAACACAAAGCGAACAACGAGAAATAGGCAGAATGTTCGAAGAATGACGTAGATTGTTCTACAAAGAGAAACGTCAAGTTGGATGAACACTGCGAACAGCGAGAGAAAGAGAATGAGCGATAAACTTCAGAATGTTCTAGAGTTGCCATAAGTGCCAGCGCAGGTATATAAGGGCGCCGCCACCGCGAGGTGAGTTAGTTACAAGTCAGCAAGCTACAAGTAAAGTGAGCGGAGAATTGAGTTGCGAATAAGCAAGCTATAAGTTTAATTGTGTTAACAAGTAGTAAAGCGTTGTTATTGCTTTAACAAGTATTGTAAAGTGTTTTTACTGTATTAGCAAGTATTGTAAATTGTTTTTTGTACAATAAAGTTAATTGTACTACAATTTGGTCATCGTTAGCATTTATTTAACAATCCAGCGATACGAACCGGAGGATTTGGGAAATCCGGACGAGGGTTCAAGGATAATCGTAACAATATACATATATGAAAAGTCTTGTTACACTCGTAGTACATATATAAGATTGCATGTGCAAAATTAAGGCAGACTTTTTTTGCAAGAATGTGCGCTAATTATTGAAATGTTATTGCGAAATATTTTAGAGACAATGGCTAAAGCAATACCTACCTCTCATTTTTGTTATGGATTTTTGTTAAATGGTTGTTCAGTGAGGATGTGGAGGAGTTGTAGCACAAAACTGCACCACATATGGAACTTCATTTTCGTCCTCTGTTTTTTCGAAAAAACCCCAAACCCAGCTCCTTTTGCGTCCGCTCATTTTTGTATCTGAATATACATACATATGTGTGCATGTATATATTTAAAAAATTTTTTTTTCATTTGTCAAAGAAATTTCAATGAGAGTTCGGTTACTGAAATTCGATTTGCTACAATGCTCGAGTAGTCGAAGCAAAGCAACTATTCGAATAATCGAAGGCGGGCGACTATTCGAATACCATTAACCGACTAATAAGCCTGCGAAAGGTTACGAATCGAATAATCGGTTAACCGATTAGTCGAATAGTCGGATAATTTTACGAGCCCTAATACATACATATGTTTAAAAATCTTATCAACTTAGCTGAAATAGAAAAATTCATACATGTTTGCAAAAATCAATTTGCAACAATCAGCAAATCGATTTCACGCAAATATCATATTTTCGGCAAGCAAGCAAATGTACAAAAGCCCGCTCCTTTCCCCGTTTCCCGCTTCTTACTCCACACTTGTCGTTCTGACTTCCATTTTTATACCCGAGCGCACTTGTGCACAAGGGTATATTAATTTTGTTCACATAACGGTTGTTTGTAACAGCCAAAACGAATCGAGATAGATATAGACAAATGTATACATAAATGATCAGGATGAAAAAAGAAATCGATTAAGCCATGTCTGTCTGTCCGTCCGTCTGTCCGTCTGTCCGTCTGTCCGTCTGTCCGTGTACACGATAACTCGAGCAAAAATTGAGATATCTCAACGAAATTTGGTATGTAGGTTTCCCTTCATCCAAGGTAGGTTGGTATTGAAAATGGGCGAAATCGGACTTTAACCACGCCCACTTCCCATATAACGGTAATTTCCAGAAATACGAAAACTGCGATATTTTAGTAACTACTGAAGATAATTCACTCAAAATTGATATTTACAATAATTTTTAGACGAAAAATAAGAATATTGTAAATTTTAGGAATGGTTACATGTGTATATCTTGGTAACCGCTGCACCAATTTCTTCCAAACTTGGCACAGTTGTTGGCCTTCGCATAACATACCAAATGGCCGAAAATTTTTAAAATCGCTCAATAACCACGCCTACTTCCCATATAACGGTAATTTTCAGAAATACGAAAACTGCGATATTTTAGTAACTACTGGAGATTATTCACTCAAAATTGATATTTATAATAAGTTTTAGACGAAAAATAAGAATATTACAAAATTTTGGCAAATGGGCGTAGCCACGCCCACTTATGGTTACATGTGTATATCTTGGTAACCGCTACACCAATTTCTTCCAAACTTGGCACAGTTGTTGGTCCTGGTACAACATAACAAATGGCCGAAAATTTCTAAAATCGGACAATAACCACGCCCACATCCCATATAACGGTAATTTCGAGAAATACAAAATCTTCGATAAATCAGTAAATACTGAAGCTAATTTATTCAAAATTGATGATTGCAACAATTCTTTACCAAGAAATACGTTTATGACAAAATTTTGGAAAATGGGCGTAGCACCGCCCACTTGTGATATGTATCTCGCTAGCCGTTCTAGCAATTTGTACCAAGCTCGGTATGGTTATTGTGCTTGCCACATAAAAGCAAACCGTTGAAAATTGTTGAAATCGGACTAAAATTGAGGCCGCTTTTCATATAACGGTAAATTTCAAAAATGCTTGAAATTTCAATATTTCGAAATTTAAGGACGCTAATTTACTTAAAATGTATACACCCCGGCTTATCATGTAGCGGTAGCTTTCGGAAAGGTGGAAAACATATATTTAATACTTGCGCCGGGTATTTAATGTTCGGCTCCGCCCGAACTTAGACTTTCTTACTTGTTATTTTAGAGTTTGTTTTGATCTGACACAAGCACGCGCCTGCCTCCGCAAGCATCCCCTCTTCATAGTGCCTATTATATTTCTGTTCCTCTTTCCTTTTTCGTTCTTATTTTTTCATTTTGCTTTGAACTACAGTAATTTGCTCGAAGTGTGGTGGCACGGAAAAATTTTTGGTATGGTGGCAGCCGACATTTCTCTACCGACACCGTCGGTCGAGCGGTGCACTTTGTCGACGAGTGGTATATTTGGCCGACTGCACCCCAAAATTTTTTCGCAACAAAAACGGTCCACTGGAAATGCGCCTTCTCATTTATAAACGTTCTCTGGCAACACTGGTATAAATGGAATGAGTGATTCTAATATCTTGACATCTAGCGGCCCGCAGTGGTCTATGCTTGTTAATTTTTGTCACCAGATGGCGCGCTATTTTTAGCTTTATGGCAGCATATGCAAGAACCAAGTCACTGCCGTCCCTAAATTGGAGCGCTAAACGGGCCGTTTTCCATTGTCAACAAGCATAATTTTTGAAGTTTTCTCATTTCCTCTCGCTTTTATTCTCGTTTCCTCTTTTCGTTTTTTGTCCTTCTCTTTCTTTCCGTCTTCTGCATCCAACTTCAACGCGTAACGACCTGTCAAAAATTAAATGTCCATTTTCTCGGCATAAGCGCCGCGTTATTGTGGGATGCTTCGTACAAATTGTATGGGCATGAGGATATTTGACAGTTGCTTGGCGCGCCAATATAGGGCTGGCTGTGAGTTTGCGCAAACCAATATATCTAAGTATGCACGTTTCATTTGTTTT